CTTTCTCGAGTGTCTGTGACATACAAGCTGGTATCTACAGAGACAAAATGAGCTGCCTCACATTTCATCAACCTTGAGTGAGTCAGAGTAGAAGCTTAGCCTTAAGTAGAAGCTTACAATTGATAATAATGATTGGTAATGAATGAGTGAGAGAGTTAGGTTTTCGCCACGTTTAGTACGTATCAAACATTGTTAATGCGGACAGTGAGTGAGTGAGTGAGTTGGGTTTAACGCCGCTTTTAACAGTATTACAGTTATATCGCGGCGTGTCAACTTAATGTGGGAGGAAAGCCCGGAGTGATGCAGGTCTCAGACGTTTACCACTTCGGTCAAACCCACAAGCACGGGTGACAAACCTAGAAACATAATCGAGGCCAACCGGGGTTCGAACCCACAATCATAGGTTTCTGGCGTGCCCAAGGGACGCAACTCTGCACAGCGAATCGCGACGCCTAAGACGACTGGGCCACCCGTGCCCCCTAATGCGGACAGCAGAAATGGGCTTCACACATTGAACCCACAACATTCCGTAACTGTAAAGTGTCATGTTTACGTATGCCATCCATTCCCGAAATTATTTCTTATAATAAAATATATAATATTTTATATTTGGTATTTCTTTTCTAACTACCTTGGGTTTTGAATTATAGCAAATTCGTAGGAAGTATCCTTTTTGTTTATCAGAAGTGATCTACTGTTCGTTCTAAATGAATAGTAATGCATGAATTTAAAGGACTATTACCAAAAAAATTCTGAATCTATTTGTGACCCATCTGTTTGTGGCCCTTTTAAACCTACATTGTACATGTACTAGGTCCCTGCAGCTGAGGTCCCTTGGGCACGCCAGAAACCCCTCTCTCTCTTTCTCTCTCTCTCTCTGAGTCATATGTATTTGAGGTGTCAAACGTCAACGCTGGATGTCAGTTTACATCAGACGGGAACGACAAACACGTCTTCTAAGAATTCCGATTTTCCAACTTATCAACACATGATTTCATGATATAATGGATTTCGTGACAGCCGAGTACCCTGCTCATGTTGTAGTGTGTTTCAAATATTAAGTGTCTTAAGTGATATTAAGTTTGTATGATCGTCTTAATGGAAACAGTCAGTGCCGGGACATGGGTAGCTGTTTATACATGTGTCCCTTAGCAGTGCCAAAATACGATTATCGTCGGTTCAAATTCACCCTGATTGTTATCCTGGACTTGTCAGCAGCATGCCAACGTTACCAGTTCCTGTGTGTTTCATCTGACTGGCTAATGTGCAAGATATGCGCCGTTTTGTCTTTTGCTCCCAAGTTAATGTGACAAGCTGTGATATCACTGACACACTGTTCAAAGCGGTATTTAAAAAACACACTCAATATTTTCACTGAAACAATCAACAGAATATTGATTTAATGCCACTTTATCGTCAAAATTAATTTCGAAATTCGGTAAAATTGAAAACCTGTTATGCAATTCATTTTATCAAAATTGATCATTTGTCACCAAGTCAAATTCTAGCCTTACATTGAAAACAACATACAAAACTGAAGTGTCCGTTGATTGCATGACTGCATAATAAATAATGCTGTTATAGTTTTGCTCGTGTGTATTAATAAGACATTCCAAAAGGTGAGAAAGCAGTCCACCGTGTTTTTTGACGTTAAAGGTTAAGTCGAGTAGCATAGTGGTTAAAGTGTTTGTCCAATCCAGAGTTCAATTAAAAAAACGGCTACAACGTGTTAAGGCCACTTCTACTGTCCCCGGCCGTCCTTGAGTATTGTTTAGGGCGAGGTTGAATGGGGTTTAACGCCGACTTCAAGATTATTACACTTATCTAGCGACGTGCATGCACGTGTGAGGGTGTACGTGTGTGTGTTTGGTTGCTTGTACGAGTCCGGACTAATGGCTATCGTATAGTGCTAGCTTACTGAGATACCACGCGGCAGTTTAACCTGAATACCCAACTCAGACACAGTATACTGACACCTAGTCGACCAGTCCTTGTTTTAGCCCCATAATACCGAGCGCCAGATAGGGTAAGAACGAGTACAATCTTTTAACGTCTTTTCGTATGACGCGACTGGGGATCGAGTTCGCGACCTTCCGTTCTCCTGCAAACGCTCTCTCCACTTGACAACGGAATCGGTCGAGTATTGTTTAAAACCTTACTCGATCATGTATACAATAACCTGACACAGGTTATAAAAAACAAGCTCAAATTAAACGCCGAGAAAACTGAAGCTAACTTATTGCTTCTGACAAAGAAAAACAGGCGACGTGACTGTATGAAACTAATAATTCATAAAATACGTCATGTATATTATATCTATCTGTGATAACAACAGGCACTCGCTGATACCCAGTAAAGACACCAACTCAAAAAAATTCACACTTTTAGAGATCGTATTATCCTATTATGGCTGTTCAAAGTTGTTTTAATTATTTGAAAATGGCAAAAGCTCTTTCCATCATTTTGCTATTATTTGCTCTTTAGCGAAATCAAATGGGGTGGGTTGATTGGAATTGAAGGAGAACATCGTTGGGATATTATCAAGCCGTATCCTAATATAGCTTCTAAAGCCATGAAAAAGCTACTTGGGCGAGGGACCTGCAAATGAGTGGACTCCAAACGTCTAATTGCCAGCCGCAATTGAACTACCATATTTATTTTATTGTCAATATGATCTCGTTAGGAAAGCGGCCACCGGGCATTTAGCGAAATACGGCGCACCAGTTTAACGCCTGCTTTCTGTAAACAGGTCACTGATTTAATTAGAAACGTTAATGCCTGAAGAGTATTGGTATTTTTTCAAAAGAGAAAGAAACTGTCCAAAGAAAATGCGTCATGTGTTTGAGTGTGTTAATGTTACTGTTTGGTTTGGGTGAGTGAGTGAGTTTGGGTTGGCACCGCTTTGAACGAATCATTGGTTTAATGATTCTAAAGTATTAATGTACTGGGCCCACTTGCAGAAAGCGATCTTAGCGCTAAGACTATTGTAAGCCTTTGTTAAAGTGTAGGAGTTACGATCGCTTTGTGCAAGTGGAAGAGGAGAAGAGGGTGCTGAAATTAGACAATAGTACAGATAAGGTTCGGGACAATACAATTATTCGTCTTAAACGATATAGTGAGATAATGAAGTTCGAGTTGAGGAGATATCACTCGTGAACAACACTGTCTTTTGAATACAGACTCTTTTTTCACGTCCCTTAGGGATCTCGACTTAGAATACGACCGCAGGGTCTAGATGCACAAAACATCTTCACGCAACGAATAGCGCGAATAGATTCTTTTTTTAACGTTGAAACCCATAGTGCAACAATCACTGTGTGTGACGGGGCCCAGTACTTCGCTCTTGTCGCAACAGTCATCTCATATAGTGAGTGAGTATGGTTTTACGCCGCTTTTAGCAATATTCCAGCAATATCACGGCGGGGGACACCAGAAATGGGCTTCACACATTGTACCCATGTCGGGAATCGAACCCGGGTCTTCGGCGTGACGAGCGAACGCTTTAACCACTAGGCTACCCGACCGCCCCCATCTCATATAGGGATCGGGTGGTCAGGATCCGTGAACCAGTTGAGTTTGTGTCATTGTACCTAGATGGTGTTGGGCGTTGCTCATACCATCAACGAGGTGTTTTCCTGACTTAAAGGGGGGCACGGGAGGCCCAGTCGTCTAAGGCGATTCGCTGTGCAGGGTTGCGTCCCTTGGGCACGCCAGAAACCTATGATTGTGGGTTCGAATCCCGGTTCGCCCCGATCATGATTCTAGGTTTGTCAGTACCATACCTGTGCTCGTGGGTTTCACCGAAGTGGTAAACGTCTAAGACCTGCATCACGTCGGTCTATTCTCCCACATTAGGCTGCCACGCCGTGATATAACTTGAATACTGTTAAAAGCGGCGTTTAACCCAACTCACTCACTCACTCTGACCTTAAGTCGATTAGTCCAGCACGGGAGGTCATAACACTAAAAGTATGGGAATAGGCCCTACGGACGAGTTGAAGCTTGGAGAAGAAGTTGCTCTCGAGGTCAGGGCTGTACCTTTAGCGGCGATCACACTGGCTTCAGATTATGAGTCAATCTTGCATACATAATCCATTCGATTAATACTCACACTATTGTCCACTGGCTTGCCTGATCCAAACCCAATTATTCTGACACGGTTTTAAATAGGTATTATGCTGCAGGAAAGCATCTTCTTGAGGCAAGGGAGTTATCTGACTTTAATTTAGGCTGGAATTTCTAACTCATATTTTGGCTGGACTAATGGGTCTATGCATAGTCCAATCAAAATCCCCGCAAAGAAATCGACATCCGGTTGATAAATTACATGGCAACTGCCGTGCCAAATATGTTCGATAGTACCGTCAACCAGGCGTCGACAGATATTTTCCCAATCAAGGTGTTCAAATGATGTGACGCACTGCGAGAGGTAAACCCCGTTTAATTACAATAAAGATCTTCATTGTCGATGAGCACGTCTTGACTGGGCGCCGCCATTTTGTCTGAAGCAATGCAAGTGATACGAGATCTGGAATATGACTGTCAGTAGTGGGGACATAAAATAGACATAAATGGTAATAGCCATTGGTGGCGCTAAGATCGAGCTCAGAAATTCCAGCCTATTTCGGCAAGGGTGGACACTGGACTTTTAAAGTCAGTTTACTCTCTTGCCTCGGAAAGATGGCGGGGCTGTTAATCCCAATATTAATCTTTCATACTACGTGTCTAAAGGAATTGTTCTCACTTGTTAAATATAGACTTGTCAGAGGGGTACACAAAGTACGGATCTAGACTAACAGTTGTCGGACTTTCATTTTTGTGGAAGCCTCGGTGGCTGAGTGGGTAAGGTCGCTGACTTTGCTGGCGATTAGATGCCTAGCACTGGCAGTGTGGGTTCGAATCTCTGATGGGACTCAACCCCCAAAAGCACGAGAATCTGTACTTTACTAAGAACGTGTTATCCCAAATATAACATTTGTTACATTATCTGACAGGTGTGTACTTTATATTATGCAAATAAAACAATCAGATAGAAACACTTCCAACATTAACATCATGATATATCACGTGACAGTCATGTGACGGGAACTATTTTCAATATGATTTCTCACCGAGATAAATGTCTGGACTGATTATAAAGAGTGCCAAAAATACTTTTCTTCTATTTAACAAAACAATGGCGTCAAGGTGAGCGTTGATCATGTGTCATAAGTTCCATAATGAAATGAAATGATTAAAAACTTGTCTTCAACCGATTCAACAAAGCTTAATAAACAAGAGAAATAGCAATGCTATCTGCTCTGCTTAATGAGGAAACCAAAGATTTCAACCATCAACCTACAGCACCAATGGTGGCATTGCTGGTACGAAAAACAGGCGAGGTCTTGACGGCTGCCTTGGGTCTCAACTCTCTTCTTGTCCACAGCACATAGGCTGGCCACGTGGAGGATTGTTCCGGTTTCAAAGGTTTCTTGCAGGCAATATTTAAACACGGCACCAAATCGTATTTGTCCATGAATGCAAGCAGCTTGGGCGTTTCCAGTGAACCGGATATGTGTGTCCATTCCATTAGAACATACAGTACGTTTCCGAATTCAAAAAATTCATCCGCATTTAGAACAGCTGGGATGTCTTCTGGGGTCATGTCGATTCGCACAACAACAGATTCCACACTGAATCTGTCCAGCAATGCGTTCAACTCTACCGATGACACTGTACTAAACACATGACCCGACATGTCACCTCCAACCTTTGACCTTTGGCTCAAATGTTCTAGTTTAATTGGTGCCGACTGGTGTGCATGGGAGATGAAGTTATTCACTATAAATGCCTTATGTTGAAAATTACCAGCAATTATACCCCGGCAGAGTCTCTCGGCGAAGGAATACCTGTATTCGATAGCAGCCACCTTTCTGCCCAATTTCACTATAGGCAGCGAGTATAAACCAACGCCAGCATATATATCAAAGAAGTAGGCGTCATTGTGGTTCTCCATGATCTCTGACAACGTGTTCAGGTTCCTCCGCTCCCAAGTCCCGTTCTTGTTCATGTACCGCATGGTGGATCGGCGTTCCTTCTCGTCATGGAAGAACACGCTTACCTCCCCTGCCAGTGACTTGATTATTCCGGATGGGAAGACGATACCGTTAGAACAGACATCGGTGGCGGATGCCCAGTTGTGGTTGTCGATACGGAGTGCAATTCCTGCCAGTTTGTACATTGATTTGACTCTGCTTGCGTTGAGGTCAAACTGACTGGGTCTGTTTTGAGGTTCGCCAAGAAGGATGCTTTTCCATTGTGTCAATGTGGCGTGGTTGGTGTAAACAAAGTAACAGACGAGGGACGTCAGAGTAAGGCCACAGCAACATAGCCACATACACGTCTTGAATGCCCGTTGTTTCATCGTACACTGAAAAAGAGAATCTACTTTATTCAAAAATGTCTAATAATGCAGTCGGATTCGTACAATAGACTTTTTGTGATTTTGGAAGTTTTCTTGTTCTTGTTAACGGAAACTTTAAATAGATGAACTGACTGTTCAAAAAGCGTGTGAGAGCAGCGGCTGGGCTTATTGACGATTTGAATAATTATCCATTTATATCACAACGGCGTTCCACACAGATGATTTGATGATTTTTTGTTAAGGCCGCACTCCGCAATATACAAGCTATATGACGGCGGCCTGGAAATAATCGAGTCTGGACGAGACAATCTAGTGATTGATATTACGAGCGTCGATCCACTCCGTGGGGTACAATGTGGCACAATCAACCAGGCCTGACCACCCGACCGATTAAGTCGCCTTGTATCACCAGCACAGGATGCTCGGGACATAATCTAACCCTGAACCCACAGTGGTCGGTAGAGGGGAGGGTTGAGCGTTGTACACTGCTTTAAACAGCATTTCAATCGCACCTCTGGTTACACTGAAACCCCGTTAAACCGGACAATGCCGTTCCAAACGAAATCGTCCGGATTATCACATTTCTGGATTAACGAGTCCCGTTTACGTAGAAATCTCCCTTTAATAGTGCATAAGCGTTACTAGCAGGGTCCGGATTGCGGGGTGTAAAGTGTAACGGGTCCGGATTAACGAGGTTGCACTGTAGATCTATGTAAAACTAATTCTACTATTATTACTATTACAACTACTTCTAGACCGACTCCGCCTCTTCTGCCCGTTATACCAAACGACCTTAAAAGATGGTACTTGTTGTTACCCTGCCTGGCGCTGGGCATTAATGGCTTTAAAAAGACTGGTCGACTCTGAGTAGATTGTCTGCAGTGTGTCTGGCTGAGGTATTCGTAGTTTCTCAGGGGGCTAGCACTATAAATCGCCATTAGTCCGGACTAGTACAAGCAGCCATACAAACACAGACACACACGTGCATGCACGCCGCTTTATAAGTGCAATAATCTTGAACGCGACGTTAAACCATATTTCAACTCTACTACTAACACCACCACCACTACCACCATCACAACAACCACAAACAACAACTACCACCACCACCACCACACCTACTACTACCACTACTATTTCTACAACTAGCACCACCACACCTACTACTACCACCAACAACAACAACAACTACCAACACCACCACACCTACTACTACCACTACTATTACTACAACTACCACCACCACAACACCCACTACTACCACCACCAACAACAACTACCACCACCACCACCACACCTACTACTACCACCACTATTACTACAACTACCACCACCACACCTACTACTACCACCACCAACACCTACTACTACCACTACTATTACTACTACTACCACCACCAACAACAACTACTACCACCACCACTTAACCTACTACTACCACTACTATTACTACAACTACCACCACCACACCTACTACTACAACCACCACCAACAACAACAACTACTACCAACACCACCACACCTACTACTACCACTACTATTACTACAACTACCACCACCACAACACCCACTACTACCACCACCAACAACAACTACCACCACCACCACCACACCTACTACTACCACTACTATTACTACTACTACCACCACCAACAACAACTACTACCACCACCACTTAACCTACTACTACCACTACTATTACTACAACTACCACCACCACACCTACTACTACAACCACCACCAACAACAACTACTACCACCACCACCACACCTACTACTACCACTACTATAACTACTACTACCACCACCACCACACCTCCTACTACCACTACTATTACTACTACTACTACCACCACCAACACATCTACTACTACCACCACCAATAACAACTACTACCAACACCACCACCACACCTCCTACTACCACTATTATTACTACTACTACCACCACCAACAACAATTACTACCACCACCACAACACCTACTACTACCACTACTATTACTACTACTACCACCACCACCACACCTCCTACTACCACTACTATTACTACTACTACTACTACCACCACCAAAACATCTACTACTACCACCAACAACAACAACTACCAACACCACCACCACCACCACACCTCCTACTACCACTACTATTACTACTACTACCACCACCAACAACAACTACTACCACCACCACAACACCTACTACTACCACTACTATTACTACTACTACCACCACCACCACACCTACTACTACTATTACTACTTCCACCACCAACAACTACTACCACCGCCACCACACCTACTACTACCACTACTATTACTACTACTACCACCACCACCACACCTACTACTACTATTACTACTTCCACCACCAACAACTACTACCACCGCCACCACACCTACTACTACCACTACTATTACTACTACCACCAACAATCAATATAGACCCGTGAATATCCGGGGTAGAACCCAGGCTTGCTGTGAAAGGCGACTATGCTTGTCGTTAGAGGCGAATAACGGGATCGGGTGGTCAGGCTCGCTGACTTGGTTGATGCATGTCATCGATCCCAATTGCGTGGATCGATGCTCATGATATTAATCACTGAATTGCCTGGTCCGGACTCGATTATTTACAGATCCCTGCCATATAGCTGTAACATTGCTGAGTGCGGCGTTAAACAACAAACCGACCAACCAACCACATCAGTATAAATACGAAGTATATGAGGCTCAAATTAGACGATTACTTTAAACTACCAACACACATTTAAAGTTTTATCCTGTGCAGTTTAGAATTATCAGTTAAATTATACATACCGAGATTTGACTATCGCCAGTGTAGTAAACGGTCGTGTACTGTAGATCGTCAAACGTGCTGTGTATACATGTATGCAAGGTGAGCGTGGTGTACCCACGGCATTGTGTTTATACGTCTCTTCGTAGATCAGACCCCTCATTCGTATGATATTGTTGTTTGAGTATGAAACGAACTGTGACAGTTATTTGAAAAGGGACACAAAATGACTCTAAATGTCTCCAGCAAAGCCGATTCAGAAGTATCAATAGAACGTCGGAACGACCAGTCTAGGCCGTTATGTGTGTCGGTTAAGAAAAGCCGCTCTCTTTATACTGTGTGATCACTCAGCAAAGTGGGTGAGCTGTGGTGGGGTTTGACATCGCGTTCAATATTATTTCTCTTGTATACCGGCCTGAACGTGTGTGTGTGTGTGTGTGTGTGTGTGTGTGTGTGTGTGTGTGTGCGTGCGTGCGTGCGTGTGCGTGTGTGTGATAGTGGGGGGGGGGGGGGGGGGGGGGGGGGGGGGGGGCTGCATGTCTGCGGACTAACATCGGTTCATAGTTAACATGTTCAGACACTGTATACAGATTCCGAGCCGACCAGTCCTTCTTTTAGCCCCTTATACCAAGCGCCTAGCAGGGTAACAACAAGTGCCGTCTTTTAACGTCTTTGATATGTCGCGACCAGGGATCGAAATAACGACCATTGCTCTATCGGGGCAGACACTCTATCCTTTACACCACCAAGGTGGTTCCATCGCAAAACGGGCTGTTAACAGACATCAAGATATTCATGATATGTGGCAAATAGTGAGATTGCATTCGTTACAAGCATTGACACGACGGTTGTGTAGATACATTAACATGACGGTTATATAGATATATTGACATGACGGTTATATAGATACATTAACATGACGGTTATATAGATATATTGACGGTTTTATAGATACATTAACATGACGGTTATAAAGAAACATTAACATGACGGTTATATAGATACATTAACATGACGGTTATATAGATATATTGACGGTTATATAGATACATTAACATGACGGTTATAAAGATACATTAAAATGACGGTTATATAAATATATTGACATGACGGTTACATAGATACATTGACGGTTTTATAGATACATTAACATGACGGTTATATAGATACATTAACATGACGGTTATATAGATACATTAGCATGACGGTTATATAAATATATTGACATGACGGTTACATAGATACATTGACGGTTTTATAGATACATTAACATGACGGTTGTATAGATACATTAACATGACGGTTATATAGATACATTAACATGACGGTTGTATAGATACATTAACATGACGGTTATATAGATACATTAACATGACGGTTATATAGATATATTGACGGTTATATAGATACATTAACATGACGGTTATATACATACATTAACATGACGGTTATATAGATATATTAACATGATGGTTATATAGATATATTGACATGACGGTTATATAGATACATTAACATGACGGTTATATAGATACATTGACGGTTTTATAGATACATTAACATGACGGTTATAAAGATACATTAACATGACGGTTATATAGATATATTGACATGACGGTTATATAGATGCATTGACATGACGGTTATATAGATCATTAACATGACGGTTATATAGATACATTAGCATGACGGTTATATAAATATATTGACATGACGGTTACATAGATACATTGACGGTTTTATAGATACATTAACATGACGGTTATATAGATATATTAACGTGACGGTTATATAGATACATTAACATGACGGTTATTTACATACATTAACATGACGGTTATATAGATACATTAACGTGACGGTTATATAGATACATTAACGTGACGGTTATATAGATACATTAACGTGACGGTTATATAGATACATTAACATGACGGTTATAAAGATACATTTAACGTGACGGTTATATAGATATATTGGCATGCGAAAGTCATAGAATCCCTCTCACTGGACGATTTCGTTTCCTGGGAAACTGTTCGGATAATAAAATTTAATCCGGATTAACGTTTTAATGTTACGGTGTGTTATAACTCTATTTACAGGATAACAATCTTTCGTATATAGATAGACGTTCCAAGAGAACTTAGTCTGAACTAGAGCGGGTTGTTCGGATAAAAGGGAGTATATTAATTCGGTTAACCACCAACTACCGGATCTGGTGTGTTCTACGGCTGTAAAAATACTTTCTCGGGCACAATTATTCTCAAATTTGAGGAGGAAGGTAAGACTCTTTCGTTTGTGTTTTGAAAACAAAAGTGATGAACGAGGTAGGCCTTTCATTTTTTCCCACAACGAAGAACAACAACTCGGCTCTTATTAAATTTTATGCCAGTTGCCAAGCTTCATATGGCCGTGGAAATTTTAATAATAGTTTCGTATTGGCAATAAAAATGTCTGACTCGAAGGACTCCAAAGTGACGCGTGGATGCCCTTGAAACGTTTCCTTTTTTTATCCTAAGGGAAATCAGTATCTCATGTACAAGTTACAGTAAGTCTCATTAAAAATGCCAGACACCCAGGTTTCCTCCACCACATGTGTACAGTGTTCTAAACTATTGTCAGTATCCCTCTGGGGCCACATGGCTAACTCCGTGACCTACATTATGCAGCAGCTCTGGAGTGGTGATATGGAGGATGTTACTGTAGGCCACAAAACCACAAAACCATCTTCATGTTCTTCACAGTTGCATAGCTGTCTATAAATACAGAGGTACGCAAACGAATCATCACGATCTCCAATAATGAAACGAAAATATAGTCACAGATGCAACCGTAACTTCACTTTCTGTCTTTTAATGTTGCAGACTTCGCACAGTGTGCGCACAAAATGTTTACGTTTATAACTCCATAAACGCAAAAACATATCAAAGTCAATTCTCATAAACAAAGACCGCCTCCGTGGACTTATGCTAGAGCCTCCGTCAAAAGAGCGGAAGGTCCGGGGTTCGATCAACGGCCGCGTCATACTAAAAGATTGTAAAAGATGGTACTTGTTGTTACCCTGCCTGGCGTAAGCATTAAGGGGCTAAAACAAGGACTGGTCGGCTCGGAGTCAGTATCCTGTGTCTGAGTGGGGTATTCATGTTAAACTGCGGCATGGTATCTCAGTGGGCTTGCACTATAAAACCGGCATTAGTCCGGACTAGTACAAGCTGACACATACACGAGCAGCCACGTCGTTATACAAGTGCAACAATCTTCAACGCGACGTTATATTAAACCCCATTTCACCTCACCTCTTATAAATTTTGTTTGTTAGTTGTTAAGCGCCGCACTCAGCAATATTCCAGCTATATGACGGCGGTCTGTAAATAATTGAGTCTGGACAAGACAATACAGTGATTGACAACATGAGCATCGATCCACGCAATTGGGATCGATGACATGCACCAACCAAGTCAGCGAGCCTGACCACCCGATCCCGTTATTCGCCTTTTACGACAAGCATAGTCGCCTTTTACGGCAAGCATGGGTTGCTGGAGACCTATTCTACCCCGGATCTTCACGGGCTCTTATAAATAAATACGCCAACAATAATACCTTGCGAGACTGCTTAATTAATCATTAAAAGAACTGTAGACAAGACGAAATAAGTGACAGCGTTCAGAGCAAGAATGCAATCAGCCAATCAGAAAACGGTCGTCCTTTAAGGAAACATAAACGCTAAAGAAAGTGCTTGGTTCATCACGGAATCATTGCAATGTATTTATTCTTATATATAGTTATTTCTTAATGATGCTATTCAAAAGTCTTAACATATAAAAAAGATAAATAATGTTCGGTGTATATATGCGTTTTCCACAACCTATAAGAAATGTATTTGTTTGATACAATAAAGGATTGAATCCAATGTTGTAAATATACATCTTTCAGTCTTTGTATTAGTGAAATGATACATACAGTGAGAGAGTATGGTTTTACGCCGCTTAAGCAATATTGCACCAATATCACGGCGGGGGACACCAGAAATGGGCTCCACACATTGTACCCATGTCGGGAATCGCACCCGGGTCTTCGGCGTGACGAGGGCCCGCTTTTACAACTTGGCTACCCCAACGCCCTGATACATACAGAGTGGGATTAATGATGTACACAGTCTGATACACTTAACTGACATCCAGTGTTCAGACTCATCAGTCTTCAACCCACCCCTGACGATCCGGGTAAGAATAGGTCTTCAGCAACACATGCTTGTCGTAAGAGGCGACCAACGGGATCTGGTGGTCAGGCTCGCTTGCCTTGGTTGATGCATGTCTTCGTATCCCAGGTGCGTAGATCGATGATCATGATGTTAATCACAGGATTGTCTGGTCCAGACTTGATTATTTACAGACCACCGCCATTTTTCTGGAGTGTTACAGGGCGCGGCGTTCAATATAATCTCCTTTCACTTCATAACAATACAACGTTTGTTCAGCTCAATAGACTTCGGTCCCTCAAAAAGGCGTCACCTCACCGTTTCCGGTAAAAGCTCCAACAGACAGGTGTGATCTGAGAGCTGGGTAAAGATAAGACTCATTATCGGAGGGTACTAGTTCACATGACACAAACCAATACCAATGACGCGACGAATATTTGAGATAATTGCAGTCTGCGCGGTACATCTTAAATACCTGGCTGGAAACGCTACGCTTCCTCATGACCATAATGTACTAGATCTGGTATATCGTGTCTTAAACCGTAAATATCTGCATTAATACTTCATTTTTTACACATGGCATGAACATATAAAGAACAGTCAGGCTGCATGCAGTTCAAGCGATATTAATAAACAAAGAACTTGAATTTATAAACGTTTTTCACAATTATCATAATCAAAATTATTTCTGAACAAAACACATTTCTTCTGAAGCTGCCTTATAATTAGCCCCCTTGTAAGGCCCAGAATGAAGGAAAAGGCGTGTTTGCGCCCTCTAGTAATCTAATTCGTGGGCTGATTGTCAAACCCTCGCATCTACATCAATCACACCCTATCAACACACTGGTTCATACAGCATAACGATCCATTTTGTAAAAATTGTGTTTTAATTGATAATAGGCATTATGAGATATCGGGACATC